GCCTTGAACTCACAGAGATCCACCTGCCTCTGCCTCCCAAGTGCTGGGAATAAAGGCGTGCGCCACCACTCCCAGCCCTTAAAAAGACTTTTAAAATCTTTTTAAAAAAGATTAATTTTAATTGTGTGTGTGTGTGTGAAGGGATATGTGAATGTTAGTGCAGTGTCCATCAAAGCCAGAAGAGGGCAGTGGATGCCCTGGAGCTGGAGTTACAAGTGGTTGTAACTGACGTGGGTGCTGGGAACTGAACCCAGGTCCTATGCAAGAGCAGCAAGTTCTCTTAACCACTGGCCATCTCTCCATCCCCCTCTCCATGCTTTTGCTATTTTAAAGTCATTTAGTTTTTCTTAGGCATTTATAAGTTTCAGCATCTTGTAGCCATTTTTCCTAGAAGGCGCCTAACCTTTGTTTTGGTGGTGAGTGGTATGTGTGACCAGCACTTATAATTTTTTCCAGCTTTCTAATTTTGACATAACTTCTGACTTAAAGTTATAATTTGAGATATATAACACTTCTATACTCCTTGGCAGTCATTATTTGACATTTGACATTTTTCATGACACTTGTTTTGTGTATGTAAGCACTTGTGTGGAGGTCAGAGGATGTCGCCCGAGTTCTCTTAGGGTCCCTGCTCCCAATGCATGTAGACAAACCACATGACACATCTTTATCTGAATTTTGCATAGTTTATACCTTTGGGGTACAAAGAAACAAACACCTGACACCTGACGCCCAGCTCTGCATGGCTCGGCCCACCATTCCAGATTGCTTTTGCCCACAGTCTGCCTCATCTTGCATTCAGGCAGCTCCTGGCTGTAGCCATATCTGTCATCTCTCCATTGACCATACCTGGCTGCTGAGGGAGGCCTTGGTGGGAAAAACTGCCTCTACCCCTAGTATAACCTTTATCAGGAGAGAAATGCACCTTATTCAATCTTTGGGGATCCTTAACCACCCCTTGGACAGTTTTTATCCTTTGAATGCCATTTTTAAACTGTTGTTCTGGTTTTAAAGCCTTCCAGAAACTCCTTAGTACTGAATTTGGTTTTCTATCAATTTTTTCTTTGGGAATTTGGGCTCAACATAAGTCTTGCAACCATTGTCTTCAAGCAACCCTAAAGGACCATTTCTTCTGTCTGGTCTTTTTTATATCCCTTGTAGGATGTTCTGTTATTCTACAGACCTGTTTTACACGTGTAGCAGAGTCACTTAGATCTGCTAAAACCTCTCTCACTTTACAAAGACCCTGTCCCGTTAAAGGGACAGCAAAACCATTAAAGTCCTATAGCATTCTTGATGTCCCAGTTGAATTAAACTTTCCTTTATATCTCTGGTGAACACAGTCTTATCTGGCCCAGTGAACTGGGCATCATATATTGCTTTTCTCATACCTAGTTCTCTCAGTAATGCCTGTCCCTCCTTTATAGTCTCCAGCCTTTGTTAATTATGAGAGTTTCCCTTGGTGATGACCATGTATCTTTAATGACTTCCATCAGCCATCCCATTAAGGACTGATACCCCCTGCACTGGCCTAGATTGAACAGCCTATATTGCAAGGATGGATAGGTAGTTATATAACTCAGCTGTGAAGCTTATGAAGGACTTAGACTGATGTTATTTGCTCCCATGTCCCACACCCTCACAAGCCACATGGCGAGGGGCTCTTTGATTGCTTGGGTGTATGTTTTTCCTAGTTTTAACAGTTCCAGTGTGGAGTATTTCCTAGCTACAGTACTGTCAGCTGTTTTTCCTTTCTGTGTCAAAGGTTGAATCTGAGGGGCAGCTTTAGCTACTTTTATTTTTAGGTTGTTTCCTTTTTCATTATTATCTGCCTTTTTCCAGAGTCCTTGGACCTAACACAAGTTAAAATGTCCTTTCTCTCTCTCCAGCTCTGCAGCTGGTCTCCCAGCACCTCCTTGGCCTTTGCAGCTTCCCCTGCCTAGGGCACAGCTTTCATTATGTGAAGGGACCACACCCTGTCTCTGGATTCTCTGCTTGTGTCCCAGGCCTGTACAAGTTTTTCTAGCCCTTTTTATGACCTTTAACAAATCATGTACCCATAACTGGGCTATTTCGCCAGATTTACAACACAGCTGTGGCCCACGCATCTGCGTGACTGGCCCCTTTTTAGTTACATAGTTTATAATCCACTATGAGGTCCACATCAGCCACCATCAACTCCCTTGCTTTTCCCAAACTCCCATGGTTTGTTGTCTTCAGCGCTGTCCTGCCGGCTACGTCAATTTGTCGCCCGAGTTCTCTTAGGGTCCCTGTTCCTGGCGTGGATAGACAAACCACATAACACATCTTTATCTGAATTTTGCATAGTTTATACCTTTGGAGGGAGGGATCGACTTACAAAGAAACGAACACCTGACACCTGGCACCCAGCTCTGCGAGGCTCAGCCTGCCATTCTGGATCACTTTTACCCATGGTCTGCCTCATCTTGCATCCCCACTCATATGTCCACTCACCCCACAGAGTTCTGTGAGGGGTCCACTGGGTCCTCTCGAGGTCCCCTGGCACCCCACGGGGTCCAGGGCAGGCTGGCTCACCTGCTCCCTGTTCCTTGCTTCCCAGAATGGCACCAAATCCTCCTTTCATTCCAATCTCCCACCACACTAGGCTCCACCCTTCTTCCCAGGGTGCCCTGTGCTCGCCCATGGCTCTTCAGAGGAAGTCCAGGAGGAATAAATCATTTTCGGGCTACAGAGGACAACCGCTGGGTTCTCTCCTTCCACTATGTGGGTCCCAGGGACTGAATTCAGGTCCTCAGGCTTGGCAGCAAGTACCTCTACCTGCTGAGCCTTCTTGCTGGCCCTGCTTTGACATTTTTAACAAGTTCAAGCTGGTTATTTTATACAATATCCCTAAATTTGGGGTTACCTGATATTTCCTCATTTTGGGATGGTGTGATTAGTGTAGCATGCCAGAACATGATGTCACTCATTGGTCATCACATGCTTATGGTGACATAGGGTGACACAGCACTGCATAGTACAGTTGTCTGGCTTGAGCTATGTTTTATAATACTGTGTAGTTATTTTGTCTTTGTCAAACTTTTCACTGTCTTGCATTAGCAACTATTGATGATTTTGTATGTGTGTATTCATGTGTGTACATGTGTTGTGCACAACATGTGTGCAGGTGTACATGTGTATGCATGTGTGGAGGCCAGATGTCAACCTCAGGTGTCACTCCTCAGGAACCATCCATTTTGTTTTAGGAGACAGGGTCTCACTAGCCTGGGGCTGGCCGAGTGGGCTAGGCTGTCCTTGTCTCCATCTCCCTAGTGCTGAGATGATAGGTGTGAGCCCACCCATGCCGGCCATATGTGGGTCCTGGGGATTGAACTCAGGTCCTCATGCTTGAGGGGCAAGCACACTACTGACTGAGCCACCTCGCCAGCCCCTGGTGATGCTTGAGTCGGGGCTTCTTCCCACTGCTCTTCCTCTTTTACAGACTTTCTTTTCTTTCAGCATACTCTTTGCCTCTTGTCTCATGGAGCAGTTTGAGCCAACAAAGGTCAGAGTGGCGGGATCATAGGGAGACCAGAGGAAAGTGGCCCCAGATATGAGGTGCAGCATTGTCCTTGGGCTGGGGATAGAACAGGAGGCAGAGATGAGAGACACTGGGAGGGAGAGCAAGAGGGTGGGCAGAGGCCACTGCCAGCTGAGACAGTGGGCAGGGTGGGCACCTCCCAAGGCTGCGTGTAAATAGAGATGGTGTTTACACATTACACATCTGTTCACAGAGCAAAGCAGTTATCCTCAGGTGGCAGAGGCAGGACCATCACGGGTTCCCGGCCAGTCTGGGCTGCAGAATGAGCCCTGCCTCAGAACACCAAGCATAAGCCCGCTAAGTATGCCACCCACTCTGGGAAGTCTGCCTCTCGTATCACTGTCACCCAGGATAGCGTCAATTCATGGCAGTCCTGCCTTAGCTTCTGAGGTTACTGATGGAAGCCACCACGGTCAGCTTTGACGGGAGTGTTGTCTCTGTTCCCAGAAGTTCTGCCTGCTGGTTAGCTTTGGTGTCCAGACCCCCGTTCCTTGTATTAAAACACTTCAGAGAAGTAAAAATCGTGTAAGGTGTGTGTGTGCGTGTGTGTGTGTGTGTGTGTGTGTGTGTGTGTGTGGTGTAGGAGTAGGGTTGTGTGGTATGTGTTGTGTAAGGACATAGTTTGTATGCATGTGTGAGGTGTGTCATAAATGTGTAGGGTGTATGTATGTTTTAAGATTCATTTTTAGGACTGGAGAGATGGCTCCATGGTTGAGAACACCGGGGTTTGGTCCACAGCACCCACATGGCTAACAACTGCCCATAACTCCTGTGCTAACAACTGCCCATAACTCCTGTGCTAACAACTGCCCATAACTCCTGTTCCTGGGGATCTGATGCCCTCTTCTGGTCTCCCTGGGCATCGTATGACATGGTGCACTTACATGCAGGCAATATGCTCATCACATAAAATAAAAATAATAAATAAAAAGATTGAAGCCGGGCATGGTGGCACACGTCTGTAGTCCCAGCACTCGGGAGGCAGAGGCAGGAAGATCTCTGTGAGTTCAAGGCCAGCCTGGTCTACATGGTGAGTTCCAGGACAGCTGGGGCTACAGGGAGACCCTGCTTCAAAAAGACAAAAAAAAAAAAAAAGATTTATTTTTACTTTTATTCTTGTCTTGTGTATGCCTGTGTGAGTGTCTGCCTCATGTGTGGGTACCCTCAGAGGTAAGAAGAAGGAGTCAGATTTCCTGGAGCTGGAGTTCAGGCAGTTGTGAGCCACCCAATGTGGACGCTAAGAACCAAATGTGGGTCCTCTGGAAGAGCAATAAGCAGTCTTAACTGCTGAGCCATCTCCCCAGCTCCTGTGCATGTTGGATGTCCGTGAATAGCTGGTATAGAAATGACAACCTGCTTTAAGGCAGTTTGGAACTCAGTGAGTCCTTGTCTAATGCCCTCACTAGATTTCACCTAAAATCTGTGACTTGGTTTTAAGGTCTGTTGAGGAAGAGGAAGATCCTCTCCCCCATACTGAAGTCCAAGCCCCTGCAAGGAATCTGCATCCAGAGATTTCCTGGACAGAGGCTTCAGACGTGGAGAAAACCTTCTCCACTGAGACAAGGCCTTCAGATCTGGGGCCAGACCTCCAGGATTGGGATCACAGGGCCCTAACAACCTCGCCAGCATCAGCCTGAGCTAGAGAGGTCCAGGCTTCAGAGACCTGAGTCGCAAAGGCTCAGGCCTGGGAGACCCATGCTTTGAAGGCTCGGGCCTGAGGTGTTCAACAACCAAAGCCCTTGAAAACTAGGGAGTTTTCAACTATGACAGTCCTGAAACAGAAACCCTCGGAAGTGGTGGGAAAGTTGAAAAGACAGTGAAATATTTGTCCCGGTCCACTCTGGTCCAGCAAGCTTGAGTACATCCTGGCCCAGATGAGCTGCTTGATGTTTCCATCTAGCCTCTGGTGCTTTGTCATACTGTGGATTTACAAAGGAGGCTGTAAGTCTGGGGACCAAGACACATGGATCCAAGAGGGACGGCAGGGGTGGGGCCTCTCCTGGATTTAAAGCTGATGTCTCTGAGCGGTGAGGATGCCGGAGTCGGGCAGGAGCCACATGCCTGAGCCTGGGGGTGGGAGACGCTGCACCTAAGTCCTGCGGCCCTGGGTCCTGGGGAGGGTGCTGCAGAAACTAGACATCTGATCTTCAGGGAGTTAGGAGCTCAGGCTGTGAGGGTGTGGAGCAGGTGAGACTGTGGCCTGAAGGAGGATGCCATTGGTGAACATCTTTCTGGGCCTGTGAGGACATGCAGGTGCTGGGCTGTGGCTCTCAGAGCCGCCTTCTCTCCACAGGCCAGGCGGCTTCTTCATCGTGGACCTCCTCATGCTGCTCTTTATCGCATTCTGCTAATCTTCCTCCAGCTGGCCATCGGTCAGAGGGCGCAGCAGGCTGGCATAAATGTGTGGAAGACCCTGGTCCCCCGAGTTGGTGGAATAGGGTACAGCATCTTCATGGTGAGGAGGCCCAGGCTTCAGAAACCTGCCTGTACACCTATTCTCCACCCGCCCTCCATTTTAGGGTAGATCCAATGACCTCCTTTCCATGGACCAGCCTCCTTAGTCCTTCACTCCTTCTCCAGACCCCGTCCTTCTCTGTCTCTGCTCTTACTCCCCAGACAACTCTCCCCTGGTCCCCAGGTGAGCTCCATCATCAGCACATATTTGAGTGTGCTGAACTCCTGAATCTTCTACATGAGCTACATGTTCCACTTCATTGTTCCCTGGGAGAAATGCCCCTCACTGAGGAATTCCAGTGACTTTGGTGAGGAAGGGGAGATGGAGGAGTAAAGGGATGGGAAGAGGAGAAAAGAGCAGGAAGGGTCAGGAAGAGGAAGGTGGGGAAGGAGCAGAGGTAGCAGAAGGGATGAAGAGGGCAGGAGGCTGTGTCTAGCAGACCTGTCCAAAGCCATGTCCCCTCGGATCCCCTGTGTGAGCTGGCAACACCTTCAATGTACCAGCAGACCTTGAAAGCCTCAGATGGAATTGAGGATGGAGGGTCACCAGTTGTCAGTCTGGTCATGCCCCTCTTTCTGTCCTGGTGTCTGGTCTGTGCTTTCATGATCAACGGGATCAAGTCCATCGGGAAGGTAAGCTCTGCTTGGTCCGGATGTTCTCAGATGCTGCCCTCATTGCTCCCTCCTGGCCAATGACTCCTCTAGCTCCGGGCCAGGACAGAAAGCAGACTTCTCACGCCTCATGTCCAGCCTGCCTTGAGCTCTGTGAACGGTGGTCTCTGCTAGCATGCAGCCTGACATGTCATGCTCTCTGCACAGATTCTGTATGTACTGATACCGCTGCCCCACTTCATCATCCTCTGTTTCCTCATTGCTGAGAACAGACTGCAATGCCAATGCCAACTTTCAAACAGGTGGCCGACCTCCACCCAAGAGCTAAGGTGTTAACAGAGATGCTAAGCATGTGGTATCACTTCCCTCTGCCCAGAACCTTCTGTGAAAGTCCACTTCCCGTATGGCTCCTCCTTAGCTCTGGACTTCCAAACATAGCCATCTCTGTGTACTGGGAAGACCTAAGCTCCCTGTGGTCTCAGGATATGTTGGGGACCTCTGTTGTGTAAAGTAGAAGTTTCTTCATGTCCGGATAGCTCACGAGCTCGGAGCCATATGCAGAGACTCCTTTCGCAACAGGGTGCCTTCCCGGCATTTTTCCTGACTCCTTTGTGAAGTAGCAGCCACAGGAATGTAGCCTCCGGCTCTGTAACTATTAAGCTTTCCTGTGTGATTTTCAAGCAGTTTGGCAGCCTGGCGGGAGCCCATTTCCACACGCAAATGAGGCATCCCCAAAGCGCCTATCAGCTGAAGCTTTTACCACTACCCCCATGGTATAAAGTTCCCTGATTCCCCTCAATAATTGAAGGAGCTGGATCACTCTGGGACACTGAGGCTTGGAGCCACGCAGAGCCATTGAATAAAGAGCTGTAACACTGAGTCTGACTGAGCTGAGTCTTGTCTCACTGCCTACGATCCAGCCTTCCCGGGAAGAGCTGTCTTTCCATCACTGACTCACAGATCCCAGCTTTAGCCGCCCTCACACTCTCCCGCGTGATCCAGCGGCCGGTGGATTTTGCATCTTGAGGAAAGTGTACTGGTGAAATTAGGGCGGGACTCGGCTGGGCAAAGCCCCAGCAACAGAGAGCCACGGAAGACGCAGGGAAGCAGCGCAGGAGCAGATACCCGCACACCCCACACCTGGCGCCCAGCACGCCCCATAAGGATAGAGCTTGATTTTTTTAAATTGAAAATGTCCACAGGATTAATTTTAGTTTTTTTGAGACACATACTAACCCCACATAATATAGGGCACACTGTGATCACACTATCACCCCAGAGATAATCTTTTCTTGTTTGGTTTTTTTTTTGAGACAGGGTCTCCCTGTAGACCCAGATGACTTGGAACTGGATATGTAGACCTGGTTGGCCTTGAACTCACACAGATCCACCTGCCTCTGCCTTCCAAGTGTTGGGATTAAAGGCGTGTGCCACCATGCCTGGCTATGAGCATTTCTTTGTAATGAGAACATTTAAAGTTCTCTCATGTTATTTTATTGATTTTTTTAATTCTTATTTATTTTATTATTTTTATTTTATATGTATGTGTGTATTGCCTGCATGTATGTGAGTGCACCCATGTTGTGCAATGCCATGGAGGTCAGAAGAGGGCTTCGGATTCCCCTGGAACTGGAGTTAAGGACGGTTTGTAGCCACCATGTGGGTGCTGGGAATTGAACCCAGGTCCTCTGCAAGAGCAGTCAGTGCTCTTAACCACTGAGCCATCTCCCCAGCCCCTTTTATTTTTATTTTTATTTTTTGGTCTTTTTAAAAATTTTATTTATTTTTATTCTTTTAGAAGAAGCATTTCATTACAGCTTTAACATAATAAGTTTCCAGAACAAAGATACATCTATTTCAAAAGTGCCTATAAAATTCTTAGGTTTGCTGTTGAATTAATACAGTTATACAATATTGAATTCAGTATAAGCCCTGTAAGACAGAAAGACTCATTGTTTTTGCGAATAACACTGAGATGTTAGCACATGTGTCTCTCATCTGTATGTATCTGATTATTACTAGTCATAATCAGTTGCACTTGGATCCTTGGCGCCTGTATATGTCTATAAGGTCATTGGGTAGATTTCAATGATAATGTTTATCACCTCTACTAATTAACGTGACATAAATTTTTATGCTTCCTCCTCAAAAATAATTCATTTTAAAAAAATTGTTGAATTTGTGTGTGTGTGTGTGTGTGTGTATCACACAGAACATCCCAAACCATCTTATTCATCTATACACCCACTTCCCAGATGGCACTCTCCCATAGCCTCCTTCCCCCCCAGAGCCCTTATAATCTGTCATCCCTGCTACTGTCCACTGTGTTGTCGGCACCCCCAGCCATTCCCCACTACTTGTCCATCTGGTGAATCTAGTCAGCCTATCTAGAGGTCTTTGCTTTAGGAAGGTCAGCTGTTCCTCATCCAGCAGCAATCAGTTGTCAATATTCCTTTAGATAAGATTGGGATCTGCTGTTCATTTTCCCAGTTCTATGCTGGGTTACTATCTGGGAGTCCCTTGGGCCACCCTGGCCAACAACTAAAAAGAAGGTATCACCCATCTGGCATTGTTGCTTGTTATGTAGCCTTTAGCTATACATATGGACTCTTAGAAATTATATTGGCCCCTTTAAACTTTG